CAGATGAGGCAGAATGACTGAAGCGGACGCCTCTATCAGCAGAGCACCTGGGTGGGAAGCATCCAGGCTTTAGCGCAGGAGGACGACGGGCTTTGAGCAAGTCCAGCTCCCGCCCTCCCTGGAAACGGGCAGTGAGTGGCTCCTGGAGCATGAGGCCTGGGGACCTTCTCTGTGCCTACTGCTGTCACTGTGCCCTGGCCCTGGCGACCCTGCGATACTTGTGGAATGTCCCCCAGTAGACTCACAGTGTGCCCTGAGGAGCTGGGCTTGGAAGCCAGGGCTGTGTAGCTGTGAAGCCACAAGCCCGTCTTGAGGATGGATGGCTTCAGGTGGAACCAGGGACTTAGCCAAGACGTGGCCGGGAGGCACAGGGGGGGCTGCTGAGAGTTCTGGGTGCTTTTCCAGGCCTCGGACCCTTGTGCTGGGGCATGCTCGCTCCCCGCCAGCCAGTGCTGGGCAAAGGCTCTTTCCCTTACCTGTGTCCTGGCTCCGGGGTTTTAGTGAAACGGCCCTGCGTTTGCCTCGGTCACACCCACCCAGAGCCTCCCTGGGCCCCTCCTAATGACTCTCAGAAGCTGCTGGATGTAACACTACCCAGTGTTGAAATTACAGGAAAAAGAATTGAAAGGAAATGTGGGAATGATGTATCTCCGGTCAGAGATCTTGGGAACGTCTGAGACAGAATGGCAAGTCCATTAACAGGTCTGGGGCAGGGTGAGGGCCCGGGCAGGAAGTGGGCACAGCTCCTGCTTCCTTTTCCCAGACTCAGTAGAGGGATTTCTAGAGGTCCCCCCCCCCCCCCCCCCCCCCCCCCCGTGAGGGGGCTTTATTACGCAGGAGCTCTGACCAGCTGTTCTCATCCAGCCCCATAGCCTGCGTCTGTGGCCACAGCTTATGTGTCACCTTGTCTTGAGCTTGTTTGTCACTGTGTCCTCATCCTCCCCACTGGACTGGGAGCTTTCGGAGCCGTGAGATGTATGTGGTGAGTGACTAGTGCCCCCACAGTCCTTCAGCGTCAGTAGTCCTTCCTCTGCTGCTCACGGCTTGTAGGATGGTGGACCCGCTAAGATCCTGGGGCTCCAGCAGCAGACTGGGATCTAGCTCTACCATTTAGTAGTCATGCAACCCTGGGCACGTGGCTGCCCTTTCTAGGCCTCAGCTCCCGGGCTGTAAAGTGGAGCGATGGAGAGCCCTTCCTCGAGGGGCGGAGGATTCATGAGCGGATGCAGGCCGAGGCCACGTTCGCCCCCTGGGACGTGTGGATCCGTTCCTGTTACTATAATTGTACCCATTTCACTGACGAGAGAACAGAAGTCCCGTCGGTGGCAGAGTCCAGATTGAAACCCTGTTCCCTCATCTCCAATGAGTGGGGGTGTGAGGTCATGAAGAGAGCCCTGGGCTGGAGTCAGGAGATGTGGCTGTGCCACCAGCTGTCCCCAGTGGCCTGGGGTGTCCCACGCTGGGCTGGGCTTCTCTTCCTCCTGGTTAGTGAAGGAAGGGCGTTGGTGGCAGGACATCTCGGCCAGCAGGAAACGGGCTGCCAGTCAGGTGTGGTTCTCTCTGAGCTTCTAGTAAGGACCCCAACCCTGGTCGAGCCTCGTATTCTATGCCCCTTGGATGTCCGCCCACCTCCACCTCCCCTGTGCCGAGCCAGGGGCGTTGAGGAGGCAGCCCCTGAGGCAGAAAGCCCCGAGGTCCACGGAGGAGGCAGGTCTACATGGAGCGGGACTCAGGAGAGCCCTGGCCAACAGGCTTCCAAACACACTTATTTTGGTTCAAGTTTTCAGTAAGTAGAAGCCAGGGGGCCCCACTGGGGAGATGTCCATTTTGGGGGAAATCATCAGTATTGTCAGCTTCAAGTCCCCCTCCTCTCCCCTTCCACCTCCCTCCTGTCCCGCCTGCTGAATGTGTTCAGATTTGGGGGAAGAGAGAAGCCTCCATCCCTACAAAGGTAGAATCCTCCACCGAGATCCTTTGTCTGCCTCCTACCTAGCCTTTTGCCTGAGTGGGTAGCAAGTTGAAAGACTATAAATCTACTTTGGTCTCTTGTTGAGAGTGTGTGTAGGCCGGGGGGAGACCACTTCATATTGCAGCATTTCCCCAACATGGGGCCCTGCTCTCTGCTCCTGAGAATGTGCCAGGGTGCCAGGTCCCTCCCTCTGCTGTGCCGTCTGAGGGACAGAGCCCTGGCACAGGTGTGGTGAGGGGACAGCTCCAGGTGAGTGGAGGTGGCAGAGGCCGAGGACAGAACTCTGGGTGGTGTGGGCGACCCGCTGTAAATGGGAGGAGCTGTCTGGCGCACAGAGCCCCGTGGTGCGGGGGCCGGGCTGGGAGGAGAGAAGCAGAGCCTGGCGGTGCTGACCGGGGTGCAGAGGGAGGTGACCTATGTGGAGATCATGGTGGGTTTTCTCTTTGGATGACCGGCTGGTCAGGCCAGGTTCCCTTGTCCTCGGTGTTCTGAACCCCAGCTCCCATCAGAGGGGAGACTTCTGAGCTGCTGCTCCTCCCCAGACTTCGCCCACTCCCCATTGCTCCCCACAGGCGGGGCTGGGCCTCACTACTCACCAGGCCTCTGTCCGGAGCAGACTTGTGTGGGGCAGACCCGTGCCACGTCCACTCACACTCAGGGAGCCCCGAGGGAGACACAGAGCCGCCTGCGAACCTTGGGGCGTCCAAGAGACAGTCAGGCCCTCTAGACTCAGGTTCAAGTACTGACCCTTCGTAAGCACTGCCGTCTATATGGAGGCCCCCGTTGGCGTTAGGCACTTTTGGGCGCTTTATTTATGTTTTCTGTCATCAGTCATGGAGTCCGCCACTACTAAGCTCGCCCGGCTAACGGGCGCCCAGGTACGAGGGACCTGGTCAAAGCCAGGCCGCTCCGAGGAAGACTGGCTGTCTCCAGGGGGGTGGTGAAGGGTTAGAGGGGGGAGGCGCTCCCTTCTTGCCAAGAGCTGAGGAACCCACAGAAGGCCTTTTTGCCCCCTCTTGGCAACTGGACCTCACCCTTGATCTCTCCTCCTGTTCGTTTTCTTTTTCCTTTTTCAGGGGTTGGCTTCAAATTATCTTATTTGTTTACATTGCACCCAAGTTTTATGGTACAAAAGACTTGCAGGTGCAAATATGTCCCGCCTTCATTAACTTCCCCTTCCTTTTTAATTTATGTGATTTCAATTTTCCTTCCCTGTACTGTTAATTAGGGGACCCTCTAATCAGTGCCATTATCACAGTGGTATTCATGTTTAGGAAAGCCGCTAAACAAATGCTTGCAAAATTGCTAAATGGCTAATTAATGTCTGTTAATTAAGAAAATTGCTCATGGTAACAAACCATGCCGTTGCTGGCAGCCGCTAGAAAGACACACACTTGTTGAAATTAGTAGCATGGCAGGTAGGGGAACATCTGCTCCGTGGAGCTTTCCAGAAGTGAGCAGCCCTTGGCTTGGGCACGAAAATCCAGGCCTGTCCTTAGTGGCACCCCGGGCGGGGTTCCTGCCTGGCCCCCTCCATCTTTCTCTGCTCGCCTCTTCTCTGGATCTCCACACCCGCCAGCTCGGGCAGGTGAGAGGCTGGGCAGCCTGGCTCTGAGCGAGAAGACAGGGAGAAAAACGTGTCTCTCCGAGATTCTTTCTCCCTGTCTCTTTTCATGTAACCACACCCATTCCCATGCATGTTTTAAATTTTTCTCCAAGGCAACTTCCAAGGGCAACAGCAGCCATGGGTGGATAAGAGTGAACGGGGAGGGAAGGGCTCCTCAGCACCGGCGTCCGGCTCCGAGGGCCCCGAGTGGGCCGGAAGGCGGGCTTTTCATGCTCTTTGACTGTGACTTGCAGTAGGAAATACATTTGATGTGGTGACCCAGTACATACACACATATTTACAAATGAAATAGAAGTTAATGAAATATTTGCCTTCGAACACACAAAGCTCTCCAATATCTTTTATTCTATATTCTTACTCCGTTCCCAGCTTTTTAAAGAAACAATGGTTGCAACCCACTAAATTGATTTCGCCACCCACTAATGGGTTGCAGCCCACAGTTTGGCCAACCCCATGGTTTCAGTGAATTCATCTGCCTGTTTCTCCTGGGAGGTGTCGAGGCCAGCATTGCCGAGGGCTTTGGGGGTCAGCCTGGAACCGTGGATGGCTCACCCCCACTGGAGAGGAAAGCCCAGCCCCCGCACCCGCCCACCCAGCAGGCAGGGGCCTGCAGCCCTGTCTCCCTATTCTGCACATGCCCGCCCACTCAGGGCTGCAGGAGTGGGGGGTGGGCCTTGGACCCACCCGGCTTCTCGTCCTGGCTCTGCCATTTACCAGCCGTGTGTTGGTGGCCAAGTCCCTTCATCCCTTGAGACACAGTTTCCCCATCGGTAAAATAGAAATGAGAAACTCCACCTCACGGGGCCACTTTCCAGTGAAGGTAAATGAGTGCCCAGCCCCAAGTGGGTGCTCCGCAGCCATCTCTTCCTCTCGTTTCCCCATTTGTTCAGTCTGGGCTCCACCCCGCTCCTTCTGTCTGTTTTCCTTCAGCATCAGTAGCCGGGCCTCTAGGTCCCCGTGACCTGCCTCTGTCCTCCCAGACTGGGCGCTCCTTGAGGGCAAGGTCTCTCCCAGGCCTGGCAGACGGGGTCACTTTCTGTGCGCACTGTGCTCGCCGCGCCCACGACCACCAACGTATTTAACATGGCAAACTCGACTCCAACACCACTCGGTGCCGGGCCCTGCTCCTGTGCTTTGAGAAAGGAGCTTGCTTGACTGGATTCTTCCCTCCTGTCAGTCCCTAGGCAGGTGTTGATCAGCTTCTCTCCCTCCCGCTCGCCGCCGTTTCCCACCGAGGAGCTGGCGACCCAGGCAGCAGCTCGCACCTCCCCGCCAGCCAGAGCCCGCCACCCGCACGCCTGCCGCCCACCCTTCGTTTTGGTTTAATTTTTGTTCTTTTAAGCTTCTCTTGCGCTTCTCCATGTGCTGTGATCTATAACCTGCCTCTACTGTCTGGCCTCACAGGGTCCTCCGGGGTCACAGCCCTCGCCGCACGCACAGCCTCCACCCCACAATCCCAGCAGCATGATGGGACCCCACAGTCAGGTAACGCGCTGGGCTCGCCCGCCCGGCCGGCGGGGGGCACGGGGCACCAGGAGGACAGAGCCAGCAGAGGAAAAACAAAAATCACAACGTGCTCTTGCCATTGCCTTCGAGTCTTGATTGACAAATGAAGCGTTTTGGAAAAAAATATATATATATATATTATTTTCTAAAGAGAGTTTTCATTCCTTGGACATCACACCCGCCTGGATATGAAACCAAAAGAAGAGAAAGCCATTTCTGTGACCTTGTCAGCGGCCTTTGCGTTTTTGTTTTTTCCTCTCTCACTTTTGGTTTGGTTTTTGAGTTGGTTAACCATTCGTTTGTAATCGAAGCTGCATCCGAGCCTTTTCTTTGTGCACTCGCTGCTGAGAGCTTTCCTGCTCATTCCCTGCACTGAGTTAGGGAGCCGCTGTCCCCTCACCCTTCTCATTGTACGTCCCCTCCGCCCTCGCTCCCCCTCCCCACCCCTCTGTCAGTGGTCTCCGTGTGTGTGCGCGCGTCCAGCTTTGCACACCCCGAAGAGCGTATGTCTAGGCTCCTTTCCTGATTCTGTGGTGTGCCCTTCCCAAGAGCAGAGGTTTCCCTCCCTGGCCCACATCGATGTCACTGTTCGTCCGCGTCCTGTGCCAAGTCCCAGCTGCTGCCCCGTCACCCAGAGTCGATCTCCGTGAACGGAGGCGGAGGCAGGGTCCCATGTGTGGTGGCACCTACCGCTCCCTCTGCCCAAAGGAAGTTTTGCCCAGAGGGAAGAGGCCACTGGGAGAAAGAGGATTTAAAAGATGGCTAGTTGTAACCAAACTGGACTTTGTGGAGTGGAGCGCATTTGTTGTTTGTCACTGTGCGGGAGCGCAGGCTGTCATTGAACTGATTCCCTGTAATTGCAGCCTTTTATGTCACCGCGATACGCAGGCGGCCCCAGGCCCCCGATCAGAATGGGAAACCAGGTACGGTACCTCTTCATGTTTTCTCTCTCCCCTCACTCGGCCACCCTTGACCCCAGTTGGACTTTGACTCCCATCAACATGTGAGGAAAGGATTGGGAGGTGGGGGGACAGGTTTTAACAAGGCAGCTTTGCAAGCAGGTCCCCGGGAGGGCCCTGTGTCCACTCCGTGTCCTGGTGCAGCCCGGGCCAGCATTTGCCTGCTCCTCTTGGGCAGCTCGGGCAGCAGTGCTGGAGCTTGGAGGGCACAGCAGCAGGGGCTGGGGTGGGAACGCAGGGTTTCAGCTCTGCCAGGGAAGGTGGTAACACCCCCCTCTCCCTCCCAGCCCCTTCTTGGAAAAGGGTCTTCCTCCTTAATGAAGTTAATTGACAATGTGCATTTTTTCCTGGAAGCTTTAGCGAATTGCCAAGGCTGGTAAATGGAATCCTGCTATTAAGGGGAGAAATGGCCCGTAGGAATGCTTAGATCAGGAGCCTGGGAGGCAGCAGAGCAGGACGCTCGGGAGTTTTCAGCAATGTCTGCCTGCTTCCCAGACCCAGCTCCTCACAAGGAAGGGTTTGTTCCTGTAATTAGAAAAGCGGTCTGCTTACGGGGAGGACTCCGCGGCCTGGGGTGTGCGCCTCGTGCTGGCCCCTTGCGCTGGCAGTTCTAGGTGGTCTGGAGAATTGGCCCAGGCCCTGCCCCAGTTCAGCCCGTCCCGGGGCGGGCGTGGAGCTGGTGACGGACAGATGAAAATCCTCTTTTGAGGACAGACCAAACCTTAAAGAAACTTAAGGGAAATTTCTTTTTATGCCAAAATATTTTTTATGTATAATTCTTTGACCTTGCAAAAGCCCTTAAAAAACCTGACAGCAGCTCCAGTGCCTCCAGCCCTTGTCGCCTCTGGAGCTGGGAGCTTGGTTGCCAGCTAGCTGAGTGTTCTCTGAGTGGGATGACTTCCTTCTCAAGGCTCTGCAAGAAGGCCCCCGCGTGAGCCGATGTGCGGGGACCAGGGAGTGCTGCTTCTAACCAGCAGCCTCCGGGTTTTGAAGTTAATTTGCCTCTCAGGTTCCTCCCCCCCCCCACCCCCCGCTTTTTTTTTTCTTCAGAAGTCTTTTCTTTCCTATTTTCTCTTGACATGAAGGAGACGAATGTAGAAAGAAGAATTAGAGACTTGGTTTTTTGAGCAGGAGGGCCCCCTGGATACCTCTCAGATGAGGACACAGAAGGTCAGGGTGGTGGGGCAGTGACGTCCGAAGTCTCCCCGTGAGCTGGGCTCCAGTCCAGCTCCCGCTCCGGAGCCAGTGCTGTCCGCCCCTCACCTGTTATTTAGCTCTCGTGGCCGTGGAAGTGCGGTCCCTGCCTTCGTTTTAACCAGTCGGCAAGTGGGCCTCCTCCGCCATCGCACACCCGGGCCCCGGCTGCGACTCCCTCTGCCCGTGCGTGCGGGGCTCCCCTGGCCCGAACCGGCTCTGCCCCAGGACGCTTTCTTGTCATAATTGTGGCCCTTCCTCCAGCCGTGAAGGGACACGAGCGGAAACGTGTTTCTATTTGTCAGTCAGTCATGAGCACGTACCCAGGAGCAAATGGAGAATGCATCGTTGTCTTTACCTGGTGTGACAAGCCGGACTTCCCAACCTCCCGCCACCCCCGTCAGAACGGGACACCGATTTTCCTGTTTCCTGGGAACTCGAGAAATTTTTGTCCTCCAAGGCGGGGAGGATTTGCCCCGGGAGTTCCTTGGAGAATGACTCGGTTGGGGCTGCCAGTCACCAGAAGCCTCCCGCCCACCCCCACCCAGCGCAGGCGGAGGCAGCAGAGGCAGCAGGACTGGCTCAGGCTCACATGGCCTCCTGGCTTAGGGCGATGAGAGGGCCCGTAGAGGGACAAGACTCTAAGGGTCATTGGCTTGCCACAAAGTCTTGTAAGAACCAGCCTCTTACCTGCCTCCAGACATTGCCCAACCCCCACAGCTGCTCCATCTACGTCAACATCCTGGGACCCCCCAAATCAAACAGCCTCAGAGGCAACCAGGCTCAAGAAATCTCCCAGCCCCCCAAGAGGGCAGACACACACCAGCCGAGTGACTCAGAGCTGGAGGACTTGGAGAGGACGCAGGGCTGAGAGAAAGCAAGAGGTCAGAGCAGCCTGAACCCCAACGGGAGAGAGAGACTGGGTGTCGTCGCCCAGTGTCCTGTTCCTTCTCCCTCCGCCCCCTCAGGTAGAAACGGGAGGTGCTCCCCAGGCCTGTGGCCGTCCCATAAGCCTCCCCCGCCCTAGACACCATACACACTGCATTTGGAAGTTGAACTGAAGACTGGTCCCTTCCCTTCCCACCACCTCGTTCCAATACTGGTTTGGAGTTCATTGTTGGGCCAAAGGCAGACCAGGGTCCCATTCAGCCCTCCCACGGCAGTGAACGGGTTGGGTGGGGGTCCCCATCACAGGTGCCACCTCGGAAGCACTGGCATCTGCAGGTGGGAAAGCATGACCTGCTTTCCCAAAGGCCTTTCCTCTCAAAGGCGGGGCCCGCGTCTAGTCCTCGGGCCAGGGATTCTAGAGTAAACTTTCACCCCAGTGCTCACTCTCTCTTTTGCAATGGCAGCTGAAATAACTTGAGTCCCAAGTAAATCACTTTTAATATATATTTTTTTATTGATTTCAGAGAGGAAGGGAAAGGGAGAGAGAGATAGAAACATCAATGATGAGAGAGAATCATTGATCGGCTGCCTCCAGCACGCTCCCTACTGGGGATCGATCCTGCAACCCGGACATTGAACCATGTATCCTGACCAGGAATCGAACTGTGACCTCCTGGTTCGTAGATCAACGCTCAACCACTGAGCCACGCCAGCCGGGCCCCAGTAAATCATTTTAGTAGGTGTGCCAAGAAAGCCACGGCCCCTGGCCTTCGCCTTCCTAACAGTAACATCCCTGCCTCAGGCTTGGGGAGCAGGCTCACAGCACCCTGCTCGCCCCGCTTCCGAGGCCTCTGCACCCCCGGCGTAGGGAGGTGGCATTTCACATGAGGGACTCAGCAGTCCCGGGTGGTCTTTCTGGCTCTGCCAGTAGGTTCCTGGGGCCTCTGGGCCTCGTTCCCCTCTGCCTCCATCTCAAAGCCACCTCCTCCCATTGTTACAGGATTTTAGCTGGTGGGTCTCTGGATCCCCACAGTTTAGAGATAAGGACAAAATGAGTTACATCTCCATGAGGCGAAGGAGAGACAGGGTAGGGGGTTGGTAGTGAGAGGGAGGGGCTGTTGCCGCTGAGGAGTGGCGGCGGGCGGGCAGCGTGGCCAGAGCGAGACCCGGCTGCGGCGGGATACGGGCCCACAAAGCAGCAGGGCGGAGCAGTGGTTCCTCGCCCAGAGACGAAGCCCGACCCACACGGGTGCTAAGGCCCCCGGCTGGCTGCCACCCCCAGGGGACCTCCCCCCGGCTGGCAGGCAGCAGGAATGGTCTTGGGGAGGCCATGAGTGGCCCTAGCTGGTCAGGTGGGGAGCTGGAGCAGGCAGGCTTGTCTCCCTCTGTCCTCCAGCCTGGGGAGCAGCCCTCAGCTCCTGTCTCATCTCTTTCAGCCTCCGGGAGGAGTTCCTGGGACACAGCCACTGCTGCCCAATTCCATGGACCCCACACGACAGCAAGGTAGAGAGGGATGGGTGGGCCGCTGGGGCGTGGGGAGTCGGAGGGGCTCCTCCCTCTACTGCCTGCCCTGCCACTCACCGCTCACCTACTCTCTCATGCAGGGCACCCCAACATGGGAGGATCAATGCAGAGAATGAACCCTCCCCGAGGCATGGGACCTATGGGTCCCGGCCCACAGGTAACTGCCTGTGTCCATCCATTCCCCTGACCATCTGTGTGCCCCCGCCTTCTCTCCTCCTCCACAGTCTGTCAGCCTTTCCACCTCGCTCAGCTTGCAGGGATGAGAGCAGAGGGTGCGGCCAGGTCCCCAGCTCCTCTCTGCCCCAGGCTCACTGGCCCCACGCACAGCCAGGAACAGCCCCTCAGCAGGCAGAGGGGAGGGACCCCAGGGAGGGTGCTGGTTGGCTGGCCCTCCCGGGGAGGGGTGTGCTAGCCTGTGGTGTGAGGGGTTGGGAAGGCAGAGGGGCTGTACCCAGGCAGTGGGTGGTCCTCCCGGAATCCCAGAGCCTCCTCCCGTCCTGGGTGGGTGGACTTGAGCTTTATCATGACCCAAAGGCGGGACAGATGAGCGCTGTCCTAGCTCTGTTTCCGGTTCACCACGGACAGACAGTTTCTCCTCTGGGCCCCTGAGGCCTCTGTCCCCCCTGGTGCCACCAGGTGGGAGGAGGCCAGGCTGCCCAGGCCCAGCTCACTTCAGCCCAGAGCTTTTGCCTGTGTCATAAGCTGGGGCCCTGCCGAAGATTTCAAGTGCCCTGTCTACCTCTCTACGGTTACCACACGGCGTTCGCTCCCTGTGCCGCAGCTCCATAGCCTGTCACCGGGACGCCCCCAGGGCCAGCAGGCAGGGTCGGCAGGCCATCCCTGTTTCAGAGCCTTCTCGCGGTTGGCTCCCATCTTAGTGTGGGAAGGTGGCTGCTCCTGCAGGAGCTGTGGCCGGTGCTCTGCTCTCCCCCTTGGGAAGACTGCCTGAAAGAAGCCAGAAGTTTGGATCAGGGGCGGAGCTCCCTGGAGTGAGGGCAGAGGGTCCTTCACTTCCTGCCCCGCCCAGGAGCCCGCTTCTCCTTCCCACCTGCTTGTAGATGTTCGGATGCTCTGGGCCCCTCCCAGATGTTTGGTTTCTGGTTCCCTGGGGCTGGAGTAGCATCCCCCCCCCCTCCACACACACACACCTCCCTTTTGTGGGAAGGGGGTCTCTGCACCCCAAGCCCCCTGCCCCCTCCCCGCATTGTGCTGGCAGCAGGCCAGCCCCTGCCTTCTCGGGGTGCTGCCTCGGTGGTGGGGACACCTCAGGGAGGCGTTGCCCTAATCCTAAAAGGCAAGCCCACTCCAACGGCAGCCTGTTCTCCTGGTGTTTTTCTTTCTTTCCCCCAAACCTGACTTTAGCCCCACTTTCCCTGTGACTTGCCGTGTGGCCTTGGGCGAGCCTCTGGCCTCCTTGGTCCTCCAGCTCGTCGTCTGTGAAATGGGGGGGTGTGAGTGGCCCTCCAGGGTCCGCACTTCCCAAGGAGAGAGGACCTGGTGGGCACCGTCCCTCCAGGAAGCAGCCATGCTGCTGTTGGGTGGGGCAGGGGCAGGAGCCACAGGTGGTACCCGGACCCTCCCTGAGGCGTCTTTGGGGAGTGAGCACCCTACTTGTCATCTCCTCACTGTGTGGTGGTGTCCTGGGCTTCCGCCCACCCCAGGTCTCCCTCCCCGCTTTTGCTCCAAGTGCAGGTTGCTCTCCTGCTGCGAGGGCAACAGGACGCAGCAGCTCTGGCCCCTGGAAGACAGACAGATATCTCTCTCTCTCCCTCTCTCTCTCTCTCTCTCTCTCTCTCTCTCTCTCTCTCTCTCTCTCTCGGCTGCCTGGCCAGGGGGTGAGCTTTCTGTTCTGGAGGAGCCCAAATGAGGCTGAGATTTGTAGAGGGGATTTCGTAGCTGCACGTGGGGCTTAGAAAGGGTCCTTCAGGAGCCGAGGTTCTGTGATGCTTAAGGCAGGATTAGGGGCTTTGGCATTTGTTCTGCTGCCCACATCCAGTCCATGCACACCCTGAGGACTGACAGCTCTTCAGAGCCAGCATGTCGTCATCTGCTCACGGGCCCTGTCGGGTTGGCCGTTCTTTGTCTCCAGTCTGTGGACAGGGCACCCCAGTCCCAGCTCTGCTGCTGGCGTAGCTGCTAGAGGCACTGTCACTCCGCTTTTGTGCCTAGGTTTTTGAACCTTTAGAATGGGAATAGTGGTGGGATTGTGAGTGATTACAGATAAGTGATAAAAGTACATAGCACGGCCTGGCACAGGTAAGCATTATTGTTAATTGTGGAGTTTGCCCAAAGTAGCCAGCAAGTGGCTGAGCCCGGGTGCTAACCTCCCCTGTGTGCTGACCCCAAATCCGTGGCTCTACTCACTGCCCCCTGACATCTCTACAGTGGGCCTGGCCCTTGCATGTCCCTGGAGCCTCCACTGTTTGCTCGATCAGGCGTGTGGGAGGCGGGCTTTAAGAGTGCTGGCTGGCTCTGGCTGGTGTTGCTCAGTGGTCATAGTGTTGCCCACACACTGAAGTGTTGTGGGTTCTATTCCTGGCCCCTGTTGGGAGGCAACCAATCAATGTGTCTCTTTCACACCCATGTTTTCCTCCCTCCCTTCCTCCCTCCTCCTCTCCACCCCTCCTCCTTCCTCCTGCCCTTCTACTCTCTAAAAATCAATGGACAAACTATCCTTGGGTGAGGATTAAGAAATAAACATTTTAGCCCCGGTTTGGCTCAGTGGATAGAGCATCGGCCTGCGGACTGAAGGGTCCCAGGTTTGATTCCGGTCAAGGGCGTGTACCTTGGTTGCGGGCACATCCCCAGTGGGGAGTGTGCAGAAGGCAGCTGATCGATGTTTCTCTCTCATTGATGTTTCTAACTCTCTATCCTTCTCCCTCTCTGTAAAAAATCAGTAAAACATAAAAAAAAAAAAAAACATTTTAAAGAAGAGTGCTGGCTGCCTAGGGGTCCCTCTGTGGCTGTCCTGCCCTGCCTCCCCCGACTCCAGGCCCTGCTCATTGCCAGCCAGCCTGGCTGCTCCTGCCCTTGTCCACACCCTTGGGCATTCTTCTGGCCTCCAAGCCTCTGTGGGTGACCAGGCAGAGGAGGTGGCCCCTCGGCAGTGAGGTTGAAGAGATGGTCCCTGGCTGAAGAACTCGGCAGCAGCCTGGGCTTGGCTCTGAGTTGGTAGCTCTGGCTCCGACTTCCTCTTCACCCATCCCTCTGGCCCCTCCGGGCAGAGTGTGATCCGGAGGCTTCGAATCCGGGTTGAAACCCAGCTGTGTCATTTGCTGCCTGACGTTGGGCAGATCTTTCTTCCCTGAGACCCTCAGTCTCCTGTGGAGCAGGGATGAGCCCGGCCCCATGGCATTGTCACAAGGACCAAGCCAGAGACCATGTATAACGCGTGCTGTGTGCTCAGTAGAGAACAGCTCATTTGGGTTGTTCCTGTGCCACCAATTCTACCAGCCTACTTCTTTCAGACTCTCCTGCAGGACAGAGCTTAAGCCACAGCCAGGCTCACCTTACTTTTCTCTCCTTCACTGCTTCCCTGATCGATTCGGCACCTGGTGTGTGCCCGCTGCTGCAGGGAGTGAGGGGCTGGCAGGTTATGAAGACGCAGCTCCCATCTTCCAAAGGCACTTGGAGTTCAGTAGGAGATGGACAGGTGGTCGTGATCATAACCCAGAGTGGTGTGGGCAGTGGAGGAGGGGAGTGCAAGGCATTCTGGGAGTAGGACGGAGCAGTTAACCCCAAAGGGTGGGGCAGGGAAGGCTTCCCAGAGGAGGTGCAATCTGAGCTGGGTATTGGAGGGTGTGTAGGAGCCCACCTGGTGGAGAAGGGAGGCAGGCAGTCATTCCTGCCAAGAAAATAGCATTGGGAAGGAGGCAGGCTTGTCTGCGACAGGAGATGACCCAGGTGGAAGGCCCGGGGGCCTGGTCAGGTGCTCTTGTGGACCCTCCCACCTGCCTCTGGGCTGGACTGAGCTGGGCTGGGACTCCTGGGAGATTCCCAATTCTGTCTGGACTCTTCTCTCAAACAGAACCTGGATTCCTTCTGAGGGTAGAAACCTCCTGCTCAGGGCACTGTGCCTGGTCAGGCCCCACATGCTGATGCCTGGATTAGGCAGCTTGGTCTAGGGGCGGGGCACACCCAGGCCTGGGCTGGGGGGTGTCTGTACATGCCAGGCCTTGGGGACAGCTGCAGGTCAGGCTTTCGGGACTGTTTCTTCCCCTCCTCGTTCAGCCCCCGCCCCGGCCCCAGCCTGCCAGCAGCTCCTCCCTCGTTGTGTCCAAGCTGCTGGCCCTTCCCAGTCAGATCTTGTATGTCCATTCCCCTTTCCCCGCCTGGACCTGAGGGGGAGGGGCCCAGAGGTGTGAGGGGCTTGCTTGACGTCCGTGTGCTTTTGAGAGAACCCCCTTGGAGCCCCGAAGCTGCGTCTAAAGCTGTGACTGTCCCTCTGTGCTGGCTTGTCATCGTGATCCCATCACGTGATTCCCACCCTCCCTCCACCTTTTTAAAACAAATGTGTTATTTTTTCTCATCAGATTCTCTTCACAGACTAACCCTCTCACTTATATTCTGTCTGTTTTCCCTCCCTCTCTCTCTCTCCGGTTCCCCTTCTCCTTCTCATAGACTGACCCTTGGTTATCGTTGCAGAATTACGGCAGCGGCATGAGACCACCACCCAACTCCCTCGGCCCCGCCATGCCCGGGATTAACATGTAAGGCAAAGTGACCCGCCAGCGGCTCAGAGCCATGGCTTTCCCACCCTCTGCTGCCCTCCCGGGACACTTGTGACCTGAGCCATTACTCAGTCTCCTCATCAGTACAGCGAGAACGCTGCTGCCAGTACTGGTGATGCGGCCCCACCCCATAGGGTGCTTTACGTGCCCAGCACGGTTCTCAGCATGTTACATGGCTCAGCTCACCTAACCTTCGTAATAGCCCTGCGAGGAGGTTATGTTAGCTACAGGGGGGTAACCGAGGCACAGAGAGGTGAAGCCAGTTGCCCGGCTCACACAGCACAGAGTGGGAGGGTCCAGATTTGACCCCTGCAGGCTGTTCTAGGGCTTCAGTGTTTCTTACCCCCTTTGCGGTGATAGGTCCCTAGGCAAGCGCACATGCGGAGGAGGTTTTCTATACTTCACAGGTTTCCATGTAACTTATAGGAGTTGGTAGGTCTCTCCCCATGGAACTACCCATTACAACCCCAGAACCCGGTGGTCCCTCAGGCCTTGGGCTGCTAGGCAGGACTTCCCGTCAGTCACTTCACCCTCTCACTCTGCCCCTGCTGGCACCACCCTTGGAGTTGACGGCACCTTTTTCACTGTCTCCATCTCTCCCTCCGTCAGGGGCCCGGGAGCTGGCAGACCCTGGCCCAATCCTAACAGTGCTAACTCAGTGAGTACCAGGTCACGTGGGCGTGTTTGCCAGGGAGGGGATTGTGAGGTGCAGGGTGGTTCCTGTCCCCAGGTTGGAGGGGAGATGCAGCAGGTCTCTACCTGACGCCTCCAGGAGAAGCCCACCTGTACGCTCAAGCTTGGGAGTAACATGCCGGGGCCATCCTGGGCTCGGCCCTGCGCAGCCCAGCCCACTGCTCTGCAGAAACAGGTGTGAGCTGAGAGCTGGGCTCCGAGCACTGTTCACATAGAGACTCCTGCAGGACCAGCACTCGGAGGAAGGCTGGGAAGGGGCCACGCACAGACGGTCCAGGGAGAAGCGTAGAGGCGTGGGGCGACGTTCCTACTGTCCTGCCCTCTGGAGCTGGAGGGCCCCCAGGCTCCCTGGGAGGTTTTCAGGATCAGCTCGGTGCAGGAGCTGGACTCGGCTCACACCCTGCCCCTGGTTCAGTGGGTGCCACAGCCGGTCCCATCAAGAAGGGGCCGTGTCCCCAAGTGGGTTTAGAAGCCAAAAAGTGCTGCCTGTGGGCGGAAGTGACTCTGACACGTGCTCCCTGCCTCTTATTTCTAGATTCCATACTCCTCCTCATCACCCGGTACCTACGTGGTAAGTGTATGAGTGTGGGGTGCTGCATGTCGAGCCGCTTGTGACTGAGTGTGCAAGAGAACTCCTCAGGGAACCCTGTCTCTTTCCCTTTCAAACACATTGGAGCACAGATTCCAGCTCTGCTAGAACTTCCTGTCAGTATTCCGGAGTTTGTACCTCCTGCTGGTCCCAGAGTTTCCAACAAGCCCTGGAATTGGCATCCCCATCTGGGGGCTGACTAGTGGGTGGGTGGCTTGCAGCACAGGCTCTGGTTTCATCGATCAGCATGCATAGGAGTACACGTGTACACACACACACACACACACACACACACACACACACCTCGGTTTAAAGGAAGAAAGGGGAGAAGCCAAGTCCAGTCCCCTAAGGCTCAAACAGGCGGGCTCTGCGTGCGTGATGGAGGATGAGCGAGAGCTGAGTGCCGGCTGGGCCCGGTGAGCGCTTGCTGCTGTCCTGGCTGGAGCTCGGTGGCCTCTCCCCCATGTTACCACCCTGGGTTTCTGATGTCGATTTTTGTCTCATCTCCAGGGACCTCCTGGCGGTGGTGGCCCCCCAGGAACACCCATCATGCCTAGTCCTGCAGGTGAGGGCTTGGGGAGGGGTGCAGGGGGTCCTGGGGGGGCACAGGTGCAGAGCCAGAGCTTGCCAGCCGCTCCTGAGCAGCACGTCCTCCGCAGATCATCTTGGCATCCGGGATTGGGGGGCATGAGGTCCCTGGTGCCATGAAACCCCTGTGTGGCCTCAGCCAGATCACGGCTCCTCTCTGGTTAAGGGATGAGCAGAGCAGGGGGATCTGGGACAAGGGTCTCACTGGCCCTTGGTCTGAGGGACCCCTATCTGATCGTACGTTTCTCCGGTGACAGAAGGGGCTTTTGGATTCTGGCCGCCGGAGCCCAGGACTCTGTGCCCCGGTCCTCTCTGTAGGAGGCTCCTTCTCCCTTTTCCTTTAACCAGAGGAGGGCATACAGCACACACGCAGCATCGCGATTGTGTGTCTCTCCGGCTAAGAATAGCATGCCACCAGCTAGGAGGAGTTCAGCACGCAGCCCTTACCACCCAGAAATAAAAAGTGAGAGGTGGTTGGATTTCTGCCTGAGGAATATGGGGCCTGCTCCTGATACAAACCTGTTAGCTGGTTTCCTAAGGAGACCTTTCTGCCTAATTGGGGAGACGGAGGGGTCCCTCTCTCCCACCCTCCCCTCTCGGCTCCCCATAGCGGGAAACTCAGCCGCAGGGGTGGAGCTGGCGGGCGGCAGCGTGATGTTCCGGCTCCCACTCCGACTCCTTTCTGCTGCTGCATTTTTATGAGCTGCATGACCTACATTCAGACTGGGTCACGTTAAACCACTCCATATGCTAATGTGGCTCCTGCCCAGCCCTGCCTCTCCCCCTGCCCCACCAGCCTGGCAGGGCCGCCCCTGGGTGATGTGTGGTGTTTCTCTTCCCCGATTTGATTAAAACTGCTGGGTTAGGGAGAGCACAGGTGGCGATCTGGCTGCCCCCGCATTGTCCCAGCAGGAGCAGATGTGGGGTGGGGTGGGGAGCCGAGAATTGGGACCTGTAATCCCCCTTTGCCTTGTCCACACTGCTGTCCAGATGTCCAGACACCCCAAAAGTCTTCATTTCAGGGTTGAGTGGTTTTCACAGTTGAATTTTCTGTGATTAAAAACTTTGTGAATCTTCATTAAATACAAATTAGCCAGAAAATGGCGGTACTTAAAGGAAATTTTAGGTGATAAAATACAAAAGAATGAGTTCAAGTGCCACGAGTTTGTTTTAATTAAGAAATGAATTAATCACCCCGACTTGCGGGTTTCCACTATTCTACAGATTCAACAAATTCCAGTGACAACATCTACACAATGATTAATCCGGTGCCGCCTGGAGGCAGCCGGTCCAACGTAAGTCTGCTTTCTAACAATTTACATATCAGATACCATAACAAATCATAATTAACTTCCGCAGCTGAGGGGAAAGCAAGTTTAATTGATTTCAGCCATTTGTTTCCAAAGATGAATAAAATAAACCATCAGAAAAGTGATTAACTCTTGGGCACCTCAGTTCCCATCCCGCTGCCAGGGGCCAGGAGAGAAGGGGATGAAGTGGTTCCCACTCATCTGGTCAGAGCGGGGTGCCCACGGCAGGGGCCCTGCTGCCCTGTGTGGGGTGTTGGTGCCGGAAAGCACCGGCGGCGGGTGGGGTTTGGGCCGTGCCACACCCTTTGGCGCCTGTTTCCTTGGCCGCAGGAGCACGTGCCTACTTGGAGACCTGCCGCCCTGTGCCTCCGTCTCCTTTGGGAGCCCTGTGACCCTCGCCCCTTGCACCTCTTTGCCTCTCCTCAGGCCATTCCCCCGGCAAGAGGCCCCCAACCCCCTCTTGGCCTCTCAGAGTTCCAGCCTTCAGTGATGTTGCAGCTCCAGTTCTACCTTTTCTCATCACCCACTCCCTGCCCCTCAGTCCCTGTCATGTGGGACTTGACGATGCAGCTGGAGCCTGTCTCCCTCCCCGCTGGGAGCGCCCGAGGACGGTGCTGGTCTCTCTCCTCCAGGCAGCCCTCCCACGTCGGCCTGGCAGGCGAACCCAGCCCGCCTTGCCCCCTGGAGCTCAGGGTTTGGAAAGGAGGCTGCCTGTGACATCAAGTCTGTGGACTGCAGAGCCAAGAGGGTGGGCTTGGGGCCCCCAAATTGTCTATGGCTTTTGGGGTGCTCTATTTGGTTTTGTTGGCTCAGCTCTTTTTTTTTTTAATATATTTTATTGATTTTTTGCAGAGAGGAAGGGAGAGGGATAGAGAGCCAGAAACATCGATGAGAGAGAAACATCGATTCAGCTGCCTCCTGCACACCCCCTACTGGGGATGTACCCGCAACCAAGGTACATGCCCTTGGCCGGAATTGAACCTGGGACCCTTTAGTCCACAGGCTGACGCTCTATCCACTGAGCCAAACTGGTTAGGGCGTTGTTGGCTCGGTTCTTAATGTGATGTCTAAACCACCCCACGTGCTGAACTCTGGCATGAGCGGCTCCACGCTGGTCACGGCACGTGTTTAAGCTCTTGCAGCCTCTGTGGTGAGGGTCCGTGGCCGCCGCCTCGGTTGCCAAGGTAACCAGGGTCAGTGGATGGGAACCTCGCATCACACCTGATGCCCCTCACCCCTCCCTCCCCTCAGCACCTTCCACCACCCCACCTCAGCACCCGTTTCCCACGAGGATGACCAGCCATCGAGTTTTAGCTCTAGAAGCCTCATGTCCCAGGACGACATCCCAGGACACACAAGGTCCTGGTCTATGGCAGCGGCTGCAGAAACTTGGGCGGGAAAGTGTGAGACCTATACAGCGGCCAGGACAGGGACTAGGCACCCTGTTCAGTGTCCCACGGAAATGGCGTCCATTCCCTCCTCCCATGGTCGCTGTCGCCGTGCTCCTGGCCACAGTCTGTCCCTGGTGACCTGTGGCTCCCAGGGGTGCGACTCAAGTGCCGCAGTCACGGGCCGATGGCGCCGCCTGTGGCTCTGCCTGCAGGGGAGCTGCCGTGCTGTCGGGACGGGGCAGGTTTCGGTTTCATGCTGTGAGCATTGGGACCGTGTTTTCCAAGGGTCCAGGTGATGAAAATGAGAAGGACACCGGCGCCAATGGGACCCAGACGCCACTGGAAAAAGGACAAACGGCCGTGTTATTCTAACGACAGGTGGGAGGACACCTGCAGCTGCACTAGGGCGGGAAACGACCAAGAGGAAGGTGCTGCGCCTCCCGCGGAGGAGGGATGTGACCACGCAGGGCTGGGAGGAGACGGGCACGTCCTCCTAAACCAATCAGAAGTTTTTTGCATCCTCCAAAGAGACGCCTAGGCTTCGTCAAAGAGAGCAGCAGCCCGTGTGCAGTCAGACGCAGCCCTGAGGAGTCCATCACCCGCCGGCCCCTGAGCTGAGCAGCTGCTGCTGAGGCGGAGGCTGCGGCCCGGTCCTCGGAGTGAGCAGAACAGGGCTTTGATGACAAGCGCCTTGGGCCTTTCTGTGCAGCGTTGACTCTGGCAGATCCTGCCAGCACTCGGGTGAGCTTCCTTGCAGGAGGTCAAGAGTGCGGCGCGTCCTGCAGTGGAAGCAGGTCCGACCACAGGCCTTGGACGCTTTGACCTGAAAACTGGGAGCTTTAAGTCGTCCTCT